TTGACAAACCCAAGGTCACTAAGATCCTCTCCTGTGCTTTCTTAGAAGGTTTTACATTTAGTCTTATGAGCCACTTTGAGTTAATTTTGTGTGTGTGTTTATGGTGTGAAGTAAGGGTCATTGGATTTCATTTTTATAGTTGCTTAAGGTAATTAATATGAGACTTTTTTTTTTTTTAGAAGATGTTGTGGGTAGGAGTTTATTAATTTATTTATTTTTGCTGCGTTGCGTCTTCGTTTCTGTGTGAGGGCTTTCTCTAGTTGTGGCAAGTGGGGGCCACTCTTCATCGCAGTGCGCGGGCCTCTGATTATCGCAGCCTCTCTTGTTGCGGAGCACAGGCTCCAGACGCGCAGGCTCAGTAGTTGTGGCTCACAGGCCTAGTTGCTCCGCGGCATGTGGGATCCTCCCAGACCAGGGCTTGAACCCGCGTCCCCTGCATTAGCAGGCAGATTCTCAACCACTGCGCCACCAGGGAAGCCCCGAGACTTATTTGTGTTTTTAACATGGGAGTTTAATGCTGTAGATTTTCCTCCAAAAGCTGCTTTCCACAAATTTTGATATGTTATATTTTGTTCTTCATGCAGTTCAGAATACTTTGATTTTGTTTCTTGTTTGTACCAAAAGTGATTTAGAAGTATATTATGTACTTTCAAATATTTCTGAATTGTTCCAGATATATTACTGTAGATTATTTTAAATTAATTTCAGTGTGGTCAGTGAACATACTTTGTATGATTTTAATCCATTTAACTTTATTGAGACTTTTATGGACTAGACCGTGGTCTTTCTTGGTAAATTTTGTGTGTGCACTTGAAAAGCATGTGTATTCTGATGTCGCTGGGTGCAGTGTTCTACTAATGTCAATTAGGCCAGGTTGGTTGATATTGTTATTTAAGTCTTCTGTATCTTGTGATTTCCTGTGTGTTTGTTCTGTCAATTAATGAGAGAAGAGTGTTAAATCCTTGACTATAACTGTGGATTTAACTATTTCTTCTTGCAGTTTTATTCATTTTTGCTTTGGTTCTCTTGATAAATGACCTCATTATCATTCTGAAATTATCCTCTTTATCCCTAGTAATATTATTATTATTATTTTTTTTTTTTTTTTTTGTGGTATGCGGGCCTCTCACTGTTGTGACCTCTCCCGTTGCAGAGCTCAGGCTCCCGACTGGCAGGCCCAGTGGCCACAGCTCACGGGCCCAGCCACTCCACGGCATGTGGGATCTTCCCGGACCGGGGCACGAACCCGCGTCCCCTGCATCGTCAGGCGGACTCTCAACCACTGCGCCACCAGGGAAGCCCCCTAGTAATATTATTTTCTCTGACATCTACTTTGATATTATAGCCACTCCAGCTATTTTTAATTATATAATTAGCATATCTTTTTTAGCATATCATTTTACCTTGAACTTATTTGTTTCTTTATACTTAAAGTAGTTTTCTTATAGGCAGCAAATAGTTGGGTCTTGCTTCTTTATGTAATCTGAACATCTGCCTTTTATTGATGTGTTTATATCATTTAGATTTAATGTTACACATTTTACTTCTACCTATATTATAAACTGCACATATTATATTTTTGGTTTTAAACTGTCAGTTACCTTTCTGAAATTTCTTAAGGAAAATTTTTTATATTTACCCACATATTTACCATTTTCAATACTCTTTATATGTAGATCTGCATTTTCATTGGGTATTATTTCTCTGAAGGATTTCCTTTAATATTTCTTGTAGGCCTGGACTGCTGGTGATAAATTCTTTCTGTTTTTATATGTTGGCAAAAGTTTTTATTTCACCATCTTTAAAAAAATGTTTTTTGCTGGATTGACAGTATATGTTCTTTCATTGCTTTGAAGATGTTGCTCCACTCTCTTGTGACTTAACATTGTTTCCAATGAGAAGTTTGTTGCCATTCTTACCTTTGTTCCCATGTACGTAATGTATCTCTTTTTTTTGACTAAGAGCTATGTAGCTAGTTTTATTCATAAACACATTTCATATCACCTTCACAAATTTATTTTTTTAATTAATTTTTATTGGAGTATAGTTGATTTACAATGTTGTGTTAGTCTCTGCTGTACAGCAAAGTGAATCAGTTATACATATACGTGTATCCACTCTTTTTTAGATTCTTTCCCATATTGGTCACTACAGAGTATTGAGTAGAGCTGGCAAAAACTCCTCCATAATCAACATTATCTGAACTCATTTACACACCTGATGCTCCGTAGCCATTTAAAAATGTATAGGAGCTAATTTTAGTGACCAAAGTTTTATATCAAAAATATTATCCAAATATTCTTTATTAATTTATTAAATTGAAAAGTTTAATTTAAAAATTTTTAAAAGTTAAATTTAAAAATGTTAAAGTGCCATGGTCGAGCTTCCCTGGTGGTGCAGTGGTTGGGAGCCTGCCTGCCGATGCAGGCGACACGGGTTCGTGCCCCGGTCCGGGAGGATCCCACATGCCACGGAGCGGCTGGGCCCGTGAGCCATGGCCGCTGAGCCTGCGCGTCCGGAGCCTGTGCTCTACAACGGGAGAGGCCACAACAGTGAGAGGCCCGCGTACCGCAAAAAAGAAAAAAGTGCCATGGTCTTAAAGTTAACAAAATATCTATAAATTGCACATTCATTCAGTTAAACACAATTTTTTAAACGTCTTTATTGGAGTTTAATTGCTTTACAATGGTGTGTTATGTTAGTTTCTGCTGTATAACAAAGTGAATCAGCTATATGTATACATATATCCCCATATCCCCTCCCTCTTGTGTCTCCCTCCCACCCTCCCCATCCCACCCCTCTAGGGGGTCACAAAGCACCAAGCTGATCTCACTGTGCTATGCACCTGCTTCCCACTACCTATCTATTTTACATTTGGTAGTATATATGTCCATGCCACTTTCTCACTTCGTCCCAGCTTACCCTTCCCCCTCCCTGTGTCCTCAAGTCCATTCTCTACATCTGTGTCTTTATTCCTGTCCTGCCCCTAGGTTCTTTAGAACCTTTTTTTTTTTTTTTAGATTCCATATATATGTGTTAGCGTACAGTATTTGTTTTTCTTTCTGACTTACTTCACTCTGTATGACAGTCTCTAGGTCCATCCACCTCACTACGAATAACTCAATTTCACTTTTTTTTATGGCTGAGTAATATTGCATTGTATATATGTGCCACATCTCCTTTATCCATTCATCTGTCGATGGACACTTAGGTTGCTTCCATGTCTTGACTATTGTAAATAGAGCTGCAGTGAACATTGTGGTACATGACTCTTTTTAATTATGGTTTTCTCAGGGTATACGCCCAGTAATGGGATTGCTGGGTCATATGGTAGTGCTATTTTTAGTTTTTTTAGGAACCTCCATACTGTTCTCCATAGTGGCTGTATCAATTTACATTCCCACCAGCAGTGCAAGAGGGTTCCTTTTTCTCCACACCCTCTCCAGCATTTATTCTTTGTAGATTTTTTGATGATGGCCATTCCGACCAGTGTGAGGTGATACCTCACTGTACTTTTGATTTATATTTCTCTAATGATTAGTGATGTTGAGCACCCTTTCATGTGTTTGTTGGAAACCTGTATGTCTTCTTTGGAGAAATGTCTATTTAGGTCTCCTGCCCATTTTTGGATTGGGTTCTTTGTTTTTTTGATATTGAGCTGCATGAGCAGCTTGTATATTTTGGAGATTAATCCTTTGTCAGTTGCTTCATTTGCAAATATTTTCTCCCATTTTGAGGGTCGTCTTTTCTTCTTATTTATGGTTTCCTTTGCTGTGCAAAAGCTTTTAAGTTTCATTAGGTCCCATTTGTTTATTTTTGTTTTTATTTCCATTTCTCTAGGAGGTGGGTCAAAAAGGATCTTGCTGTCATTTATGTCATAGAGTGTTCTGCCTATGTTTTCCTCTAAGAGTTTTAGAGTGTCTGGCCTTACATTTAAGTCTTTAATGCATTTTGAGTTTATTTTTGTTTATGGTGTTAGGGAGTGTTCTAATTTCATTCTTTTACATGTAGCTGTCCAGTTTTCCCAGCACCACTTATTGAAGAGGCTGTCTTTTCTCCCATAATGTATCTTTTTTCCCTCTGGTTCCTTTTAATTTTTTTTTCTAGCACTAGTTTTAAGCACTTTTATTAGTATGTGACTTGGTATAATTTTCTTTAAGTTTTTTGTACTTGAGTTTCTTTGAGTATCTTGCATCTGTGGACTTATAGCTTTCATCAGATTTGGAAAGTTCAGGCAATTATTTTCAAATATTTTTTCTGTCTTACCTCCTCCTTTATTTTTCTGATCTGTTTTTCATTTTCTATAGTTTCTATTCCTGCATCTTCAAAGTCACTAATTTTTTTGTTTTACAGTGTCTAAACTGGTATTAATCCCATCCAGGATGTTTTTCATTTTAAACATTGTAGAAGTTCTGTTTGTGTCTTTTTATACCTTCCATGTCTATATTTAGTATGCATATATATTTATCTTCTTGAACATGTCAGATATACTTATAACTGTTTGTGTCTTTTTGTACTAATTCTGTCATCTGTGTAATTCTTGAATCTGTTTCTACTGATAGATTTTTCTCCTCAGTATGAGTTGTATTTTTCTGCTTCTTCAAACATCTGGTGATTTTTTAATTGAATGCCAGATATTGTAAATTTTACTTTGGTGTGTGTTAAATATTTTGCGATCCTGTAAATATCTTAAGATTTGTTCTGGGAAGAAATTGAGTTACCTGTAAACAGTTTGTTCCTTTTAGAGGCTTACTTTTAGCCTTGTTAGTTGGAATCATAGCAGCGCTATCCTAGAGCAAATTTTTTCTCACACTGAGGCAATACCCTTATGAACACCCTACTCAGTGTCCTATGAATTACAAGATTTTCCTTTATGTTTGGTGGGGACACGAATTATTCCTGGCCTTTTTAAGTTTCAGGAATTTTTCCTTCTCTTTTCTGGTGATTCTTTTCCCAGATTCAGGTAGTTTCCTCACTCAAATGTGCTTGTCATTCCTCAGCTGAAGACCAGAAAACACCCTGCAGAGATTTCTCTCCATGAAGCCTTCTCCACTCAATATGTACCTTGGCGTCCCCAGACTCCTAGATCTATAACCTCTATTCTCAGAGACCACTGGACTCTGCCTGAGTTTCCCCTCCCTGTGCTGTGGCCTGGAAACCATTTGGCAGTAAGTTAGGGCGATTGTAGGACTCAACTCATTTGCATCCGCTTTTCTCAGGGATCACCATCCTGAGTTGCCTAATGTCCAAGTGTCTGAAAACCATTGTTTCATTCATGTCGTCTGCTTTTTTTTTTTTTTAAGTTGTTTCAGGTAGGAAGCTAAATCCAGTACCTGTTACTCTATCTTATCCAGGAGGAGTAATTCGATATGATTTTATTTCTATAATGTTTGCCACCTGTCTTTTCTTGGAGTTGCTGGAAACGTCTTTGAGGATTTCCCTTTGCCCATCTGAAATTTGGGCTGCTTTTTAAAACCCAGTATTCTATAATAGACTACCAGATGTCAGTGAGATCCCTTGGAACTAATTTTATTATGTGAATGTAATTAACATATTTAATTTAGGGCTTACTATACACTGGGCACCTATACAAGAAATTGGCTTACGTTATCTTATTAAAACCTAAGTCTGTGAGGTAGATTATATTATCTCCATTTGATATATAAGAAAACGGGCTAAGAGAGGCTAAGAATCTTGCCCAATGTTATATAGCATACAGGTGTCAGAGCCAGTTTTCAAATTTAGGTTGTATACCCAAAGCTTGTATGTTTAATCAATATTTTAACCTCTCTTTAGCTTTATTATCGTTGATGTTGTTTTGCTAGGGGAAATAAGATTATCTAAAATTTTTAGATTTTAGAATTTTACCTTCATTACATTGGGTCATTTTTAACTGTCTTATCCTTCTCAATAAATTCTAAATTTTAACTTTTCTAAATTAAGGAATTATGATTCAAGCTTACATTATAAATTTTTATATATTCTACTGTATTCATTTTGAAGTTTATTGAGAAGTATCCACTATGTTAAATTCCCCTGAGTTCTTTTTGAAATGAGCATTTAATGTGATAAATTAATTTCTTTTATCAGCCTGATTCTGTTTTATTTGTTTTGAGATATGTGTATGTACCTGTGTTGTGAAATCCAATAAAGTACCAATGGCATTATTAGTCTATTCCTTGTCTTTTGGGACCTCAAGGAGATTCAGAATCCTTACCTCAGCTATATCATTGGCAGAGGGAATAAACGGGATCTGGGGTTAACCTTTATAATTAGTCCTATCCCTGAGAAGCATGGGCTTCAAGGGGGACAGGTGTGTACCTGAGCAAATTCAGGGTTTTGTTGGGAAGGAGGAAGAAAAGATTTTGGATGGGCGTCTAACCGTATTTGCTGCGAGCAATTTTCTCTGTGTCACTCACCTGCTAAGTGATTGAACTAGAGTATGAACCCAAGTAGTTGTGACTCCAGATTCTATGATCTTTCTCTCAAGCCCTAGAGACTTTTAGTATGCCATTCTGTTGATCATAGAGAAAATACACTGTGTGACATTAAAAGAAATTTTTTTTTGTATAATCAGTTACTAGGGATCGAATGCATTCACTTCAGAAGCAACTCTTACGTTAATGACTCCTTTTCCATTTTCGTTTTGGGCACTGATCCCTCTTCTCTATTCGTCAAAAAGTAATGCGGAGGCTCCCGTACTCTTATTTGTTTTACTCGTGAGACAATGACTTGATTCATTTTCATCAAATACGTGAAATGTTTCATGTGTGAAGTCTTAGAAGTAGCTATGAAGACTTTTTACCTTAGAGTAGACTTTCTGTGCTTCCTGATCTTTGGGTAAATAGAGTGATATTTTAACAATTTTGTCTAAAGAGCCCAAACCTGATGGTTTCCCAGAAGGATATTTACCCATTAATTATTATTTTTTTTTTTTTTTAACCCATTAATTATTTACCCAAGTTGCTCTTCTAAGAATCATGGAATTCCCTGTATGGTAGTTATGTTCATAGAGTCTAGTTATAAACATCTCTGAAGAGAAAGATTTCTTGCATTTAGCATCTGAGGCAATGAACTAAGGCAATAGTTCATTGAAAGTTTATTCTTAATAATAGTATGTCCTGGTTCGCCCAGATGGTCCCAGTGTATCCCCCTTTATTCTCAGAAGTGTCCAGTTTGAATGGTAACATAGTACCAGGTTCTTGGAAATTAGAATTTCTTACACAGGATTCGGTGGGGCTGTAAACCATATACTTGAGTCCAAAGTTTAAAGTTCGGGCTTTAAAATCTTAGAGATGTAATGTTTCCACCTCTCTGGAATATTATTCCAGTGACAAAAAGGATGGTGCACATGTTCCGGAACAGACATTAGAGGGGGTTATGTAACATTGTGAATGTACTTAGTGCCACTTACATGTACAATTTAAAATAATCAAAGAGTTAAATTTTAAATGAACATTATATCATAAGCAATTTAGTATATGTAAGAAAAAACACATATTAAAAATGGACTTGGAGAGGAGGGAAGGAATTCTCCAGGGCTGCTGCTGGCACTGGGGCAGCTCATCACCTGAGATTCAAGAGAGCCGTGGCACCTGGTCCCACTGGAGTGTAAAGTTCACAAGAATTGCTTGGCTTCTGAGTGCTTGTTGTCTCCACGGAGAATGGATTTTGTCTTCTGAATGTGTAGCTCGCTCTCTAGACGACATAATTAGAAGGTTATGCCGTCATTTGCAATAGTCCCTGAGTCCATTCTATTACCAGCTTTCTTTTGGGGCTGTGAATATATTTAATCTCCTTTTCCTGTGCTAAGAAATGTGGATAGAGGTACCTGTCCCATCATAGATTAATGGAATACTGTTAATGGAATACCATCATAGATTAATTTGCTCAGTGTTTTAAAGGCAGAGAACCTATGCTTTTAACTTTTTAACATACTTAACTCTCGTCAGTTTGTCAAAATATCTCTAGGTGGGATTAAAGGTAGACATTGAAGTTGCTCTCATGAGGGTAAGGAAAATGATCCATTGTATGAAAAAAGCGCCGGTCTTAAATATAATGCTGGTACCAGCTTACTCAGGAGGAGGTGTTGATACTATTTTCCCCACTACCTTTTGACACAGTGATAGCAGTAAATGGCTTCATTGACAGTAAATGCCAAAAACAATTATTAACATTTCGACTGTATCTAGGAAAACTTAAGGAAACATTTCTTTGCTTCCTGTGTGTGTCTGTCTCTTCTGTTTTTGTTTTTGAGAAACTGCTAAAAATTCCACAGTTTCGAAGTAAATTTTAACGTCTGTTAAATTTCCAATGCATTCAGTCCCATTTCGTAAGTATCTTTGGATGTATGTAGTTGATTTATAATTAAACAGAGCACTTCAATGGTAGCCTGCTTTATAATGTTTGCAGTTACAAAAGTTGGATGTCGTTGAGCACTGATGATTTTTTAATAAGGATAGCATCAGCATACTTCATTATCATAGTGGATGGCATGTACTCAGCTACTTCCAGCGGGCCAAAACCAAAATGCGTGATCGAGCATGAGCAGAAAATAACTTCTAAGATTTGTGTCATTACTGCCTTTTTTGAGTTATCATTCCATTGAGTTCTTTGACGTTGTTACCAGTATCATTCTCATTTTACAGATGAGAACACTGAGGTTTCAAAACGGCAAGTAACTTGAACTAGATTATACAGCTGAGAAGCAGAAGACTAGAGAAACTACTTTTTAAAAACTTTTTATTTTGAAATATTTCAGTTTACAGAGAATTAGCAGAAATAGTATAATGAGTACCCCAGTGACCCTTCACGTGGAATCAACTGTTGATCTAAGGGTAAAGTGGAGATCTCATGATCCTTTGTCCCGAGTCAGCATGTATTTTGTAAGAACCAGCACAATTTAATTAGTAATGGACTTCAGGAAACAAATTTCCTTCTTGACTAATATGCTAGATTGTCTCCCCAGTCTCGATGAAGAATAAGACTGTTATTTACATATACAGCCACTGAGTCTGTGCACAGATTTTGTTCCTGAGAATAACGTTTTCTAGTCTTGTTTTCTAGTTTTTGCTGTCCTTTGGCATATTTATAGTCAAACAGTGAGTTGTCAGTAAACGCAGTCTAACAACCGATCACAAAGTTTTTATTATTATCATTCATTTTGAGTGGTTTTTTAACAGCCTGTGTGGCCTTTAGATGCAAATGAGGAGACAGAGTAAGAGAGGGGAGTCCTCAGCTTTCCTCTCCCACAGTTTTATCCAATAAATTTACTGCTGTGGATCCAAACAGAATCCCTGAGTCTTCAAACATCTCCACCTCCTCTGTGCCTTCAGAAAACGTTATCGTCGTTCATTCGGTCACAGGCTTTCTGAGGGTGATGACGAAAGACCTGGAAGGTTTTGTTTCCCCCATCTTCACTCCCCTGCCAGAAAGGTGTGCCTCCTTTAAATATTTCCTTGAGCAGGGAACTCTGAAAGCTCTTAAGGCATGTGTTCTGGGATGTTTTCCTTCTGCTCTGTAGCATATGTTGGAACTAGTGAATTGCGACCCTTGTGACTTCATACAATGTCCTGAGTCAGCCACACACTTACTGCATTTTGTGATCTCTTGACATTGGCACCATGGCAAAGGCAACTCCCCACAGAATTCATCACAAGTGACAAATTTGGCTTTTATTTCAAGATCCTCAGTTGATACACAGTAAAAGTGCCTGTATGATACCAGATGCTTGGAAGTGTGAGCTGTCAGTCTCTGAGATACATGGGATTGCAAAGCACCTTTTGTTTAATAGTGCATAGCATGAAACGGCATTTTTAAAAAATATTTTACCGAAGTATAGTTGATTTACAATGTTGTGTTAATTTCTGCTGTCAGCAAAGTGATTCAGTTATATATATATATACTTTTTCATATTCTTTTCCATTACACTTTATTACAGGATATTGACTATAGTTCCCTGTGCTCTACAGTAGGACCTTGTTGTTCATCCATCCTATATACACTAGTTTGCATCTGCTAATCCCACACTCCCAATCCACCCCTCCCCCACCCCTCCCCTTGGCAACCACAAGCCTGTTCTCTATGTCTGTGAGTCTGTTTCTGTTTTATAGATAAGTTCAGTTGTGTTGTATTTTAGGGTCCACATATAAGTGATATCATGTGGTATTTGTCTTTCTCTTTGTGACGTACTTTGCTTAGTATGATCATCTTTAGGTCTATCTATGTTGCTGCATGAAGTGGCATTTCTGACACTAAACGTAACATCAGTCTTTCCTCAGACACTTCATACAAGGTAGATTCCTGAGGAGACAGTGATCTGACATATTTTTCACATATGTAAGATCTCAAAGCTTAAAACTGTCGCATTCTTTGAGTTTCCAGTGTTTCTGTTCTATATCAGGTCCACTGAAGTTATGGACGTGACTCCCTCCCCTAACTGGCAATCTGCCAGGTCTCAGCAGAGGTCTCAGGGATGCATGCTTGTAGGGGTTTGCTGTCCTCACTCTAAAGTTCTTTACTTTATTCCCCCCAAAATCAGCAAACCAGGGAAGAGTATTTTGTCCAAGACAAGAAGAAAGAAACCAACCCAAAAAAAGGGACATTTTAGAAGCAAGATAGCACTTGGAATAATTTTAGATACAGCTAATTATTTCTTCAAGTTGCCTTTAAAACTTTTGGAAGTAATTGGCTCTAAGCTGTAAATATATATTTTTTTCTTCAATATTAAATGATCTAAGAGCTAAAATTAGTCCAAACTTGAGGAAATGAAGAATTCAAACTAAAATAAGAGAGCATATTGTTTTTTTACTGTTAACTTTGTCTTAAGATGAGACATGTGATACTGTTTCATGCCAAATAACCATACGTAGTTCAACTCCTGGGACTTCATGATAAGGACACTCTTTTAGAAAGCTGTCTTTGATGGTCCATTTTCCTCCATTTCCTATCAGCTGACTTCTGAAATGTGTTGAGGTTTTGGTTCTCAAATGTGATTGATAGAAAACAAGTTTTTTGTGGTTTTTTTTGGCGGTATGCGGGCCTCTCACTGCCGCGGCTTCTCCCGCTGCGGAGCACAGGCTCCGGACTCGCAGGCTCAGCGGCCATGGCTCACGGGCCCAGCCGCTCCGTGGCATGTGGGATCTTCCCGGACCGGGGC